TATATATATATATATACGTTACATTGCCTACGTGTGTACGAGTACCCATACACGTGTACGCACTGGGCCGGCATCTAAAGAGAAAAAAAAAAGAGAGACAGGGAAGAAGAAGATAAGGAAAGAGAAGTCGGAATAAAAAGACCGGTGGCTGCGCGACAACGTGTTGTCCCTTTTCAAATTACACTTATATCTCTGGCAAAAAATCATCATCGCACGCAGTTGTTGATGCAGGTTTTTTTTTTTTTTTTTTTTTTTTCATTGTTATAGTACAGTGACGTGTACAGCTAAATTCGACACTTGTTTCGACATCAAACATACATAATATACATTTGGCAGTAGCGTGATAATCGCATCTCTCTGCGCCTATAATGTCCTGTTGAGATGTGCGTAAACCTATGTAGGTAATATACTTAATATGGTATCGCGAGAAAGCGACGCCCCTCTTTTATAGGTATATGGATGGCACGGTGACGGTAGCAGCTGGTCCTACGGACTGGCGGGAGTAATTAACGTGGCTAACAGTTAATAATTGAAGCCGCCGTGTCAATTACATTTCGCAGAGCCTCATACCCTATGGGTGTTACCGCACGTAACATACGCACGCTTTATATACTATTACACGTGTGACTGCTCTCCCTCTCGTCTCGTCGTCCTCGTTTCCCCTCCTCCCGACCATATACACTATCTCTCCTGCCCGCCTTCTCGCACCTCCTCCTCCTCCTCACACGTTTTACGTATACATTATTGGCCCGTTATCCAATAACTTCCCCGGCACTTTTCTGGTTTTCTTTTTTCTATCTTTTTGGAGGGGGTGGTTTTTTTTTAAGGAATATAATATAAATGATACAACAATCGCGCCAACTGGAATTTTTTGCCATCCCGTGAACGCGACGTAATGCTCAGACATCTAGCTTTCTTATTCCCTGCACTAATGAACTTTGCGCTAGAAAACAGACACGTCCGTCTACCCGTTACTTGTATATATACACGCGGGCGCACGCCACGCCGCTCGTTTACCCCACGGGAGGCAATCAGATTAACTTTATTGCGTTTGCCTTCTGTTTTCCACCCCAACGGCTGTATACCTAAGAGCCAGTCACTTCTAATTCCTCCCTTACATATTACTCTCCCTCCCTCGTTCTCCATCCTTATTTATATTTTCTTCCCAACATCCGTCATTCATCTCGCTTTCTGTTTTCATTGTACTCGTTTTTTTTGGTACCCACCCAACATATGGATTTTCCACACTTTTAACTGATTGCCCGTTTCGTTTAGACGCCAGACAGCCGAGGAAAGGGAGGCGGAGAGACAGGCAGCCAACCGGCTGATAATGACGCTGCAGGCCGAAGCTCTGAACAAGTACGCGCCGGGGGCCGGCATTGCTTCCGGAGCCGTGGTTCCTAATCTCGACGGTCAGACAACGCCGGGGTCGCTGACGCATCCGGTGAGCCAGTGGACGCCACCCTGTGGGAGAATGCAGCCTCTCGCGGATCCCATCTGCTAAGATTCCATCCAAAAGTCACGCGCGCTCTCTTGCTCCTTATCGCTCACTCAGCAAAGGAGACACTCGATCGAACGCTCTTCGTACTACCTACTTCAGGTTCAATTCTTTTGTAATCTCTCTCCATTTTTTGCAGAATGGGTTTTTTTTTTCTCCCCTTTTATTTACATATTTGTATCCAAACCAAGTCTCTCGTCCGACCAATTTGCGACGTTCGTCAAAGCTTGATCATTCAATTCTATCGATAAGAAATAATTATTATAATAATAACAGTAATAATAATAATAATAGCTATTGTCATAATAAAGATGTAGTAATAAAACGAAATAATAATGTGCAATGGAGAAGACATGAGGTACGACGGTATAGCAGTGGTAGTGAAAAATTGTAAATAGATTTCTGTCTTTGTGTACATTAATATGAGAAATGCGTATTTTGAGAGACGATTCTCAAGAAAATAATCACCCAGTACGAGACATATCTTGTAAATAATACCTATATTATATTGAAGTGATTCCATGAGAAAATTCGCTCCTGAAATTATGTGATTACAATAAGTTGTATGATTATTTTATTATGATAACTATCTCATATATTAATAAAAAGATGTAAATACATTTACTATAAAAGTGATAGTTTATATATATATACACATAGCACTACCAAAAGTACTATCACATGATTGGTACAATACTATCAGGAGAGGAAACAATTCAAAATCTATCATACGAAATGATTGTATTTAAATCTATCAAACTACCTATGTGATGTTATATACTTACTTTAATGTTGTACATATAGATTTTATCTAAATGCAAACGTAAATACACAATGAGCTGTTTCTTTTTAATCTCCCTGCCTGCCCCTTAATCAGAGTATGTCATATATCTCTTCTAGAAATGTTTACTACATTTAAAAAGAATTTTTTTTTTTATGCCAATTATTCTTTTACATCTAACAAATGATTTCATGCTAAAAAAGATGTATTTGACGTAAAAACGAAAAATCATTCAAGTTTTAAAGTAATGTTTTTTTGGAGGATTTTGTTAAAAGTACTTTTGCAACTGGCCACACATTAACGGGTGAGAATGATTCATATAAACACAACCCTAAGGCAGGACAAGATGGAATATCATTGAAATATTTACATATCAACCAACATTATATTATCCTTGACAATTGAAAAGATAATGTACATGCATTATAACTCACCAGTAAGCAGATCCATCGATGTATGGCAGCCACACAGTATGGGTATAGAAAAACCGTAGGTACCAAGTAATCAATCTTCATTTGCAAATCCATCAAATCCAAATAGTATGTAATGTGCCTAGCCAAAACCAGCTTTCCATTCATCGCAGTGTATGTAAGAATAAGCTGCACGTTTGGTTTGTAACTTGTAACGAATATCCAGGACGTCTACAAAGAGAAGCCTATACATAATAAGAAGCAAAACAAACGTGTTACTTGGGGCAGCTGAAAAGACAATGTCGTGAAAAGCGAGACCTTTACCTATCGTTATTCTGACTTTCAAGCTTAACATAATTATATAACGTTGACAGTAACCAATGTTTTATAGGTTATCTGCAATTTTCTTTCACTACTCACACGTAAAACCTACAATGTTTATAATACTAGCGGTGACATACCTCGTATGAATACCTTGTAAAAAGATGTTTGTAAGTGCACTTAATCCGTGGACTTGTCACGTTGAAAAAACTAAATTTAATCGACGCGGTTAAATTCGACGAGCAACCGACCGACACGATTCTCTATATAGTATACCCGAACTACACCGGAGACTGGGCACTAAGCTACCGGAGCCGGAGATCGGACTTCCTGGAGCCTGGATCTGGATATAAAAGCCGAAGTAAGCGCGTAGCAGCCATGCAGGTTATGTCGGAATGCTGCAATGAAGTTCGCAAAATCACGACTATGGCAACACTGACGTCAATGTAACTGACGGAAAACAAACCGCCGAAACCGGATACCTACCGGAACATCCGGTCCGGATGTTGAAATCAAATGATTGACTGTCACCCAACTGTATTCATACGTCATTTTGGACGGAATATTTAAAAATTTTTTTTTTATTTTTCAAAATATATATCTACGAAAGTAACGTATTGTGTAGTAAGTATGCGTAGTTATTGTAAGCTTAGTATACACAGCCGTACACGTATGAGGTAACATATACGTTAAAAAAATTTTGCAAAGTTATCTTATCTCACAGAAGGTTATATAAATTTTATATGAGACTGTTACACTGCAAACGTTTTTTGCATATGGATATATATGTTACTTAACATTTTTGGTGGATTGGGTTTTATTCTATAGATGAATTAAGATATCAGCAGCCGTTACTATAATATTTCTTTTACAGTTCCATCCAAACTGAAACGACCGTAAGTTATATATATCGACATATTTAAATATTCTGTATATAACTGATGGTGTATCTGTTTGTGTATTTATAAATAAAATCTATTTGTGTACCATTCACTCCATAAAATATAAAATTCACCGTTAAAAATGATCAACTCCTTCAAAAAAGATTGAATTCGTTGTATTAAAATGTTGTGAATGATAATTTCGCCCAGTAAGTATATGTACCTAAGTATTATGCAGCTCAGCGCAGCAAGAAAAAGAGGAAAAAAGGTAAAAAACGCGGGTCATTGTCGGCGATGTCGTGAGATAATTTTGAAGCGACCTTGAGTAAACGTTTTGAAGAAACGTACTTAGTAACAGAAAAAAAACACGGGGTACTTACAAGGGGCACGTATATAGGTATAAGGTACGAGGTGAAGGTGGAAAAAAAAAACAAAACAGCACCACCTATACCTGTGTAAGAGTTGGGAGTTCTTGCATAGGCATGGGCAGGGGGCAGAGTTAAAGTCGAGACGGGTGTCTCTTTGGTCATAACGTAAGTGCCGGACCATCAGCCGAAAACGGGGAGAAAGAAGGACGGAATCGGAAGGTCGAAACGAGGAAGAGCAGCTCGAGAGATCAGTGCCGAGAACCGGATGTGGCCGGCCGGCGATGACCATACACACATACTTTTTACTTTACTGCCGATAATTGTAGGTATACCCGTGTATAGAGAGAAAGGGAAGACGAGGAGAGGAGGATTGAGAAACAGCCGACAAACTGTGTCCCTTCCTCACTCCAATTACATCTCGGCCGAGCTTGTAATGTATATGTTGTATAGGTGTCTCCGGGCACACACACGCAGGTACGTCTACATATAATATGTATTGACGTTTATACCGGTTTAATGCTTTAAACTCTGCTTTTATTTCCAGAGAGTTGCATATATATATATATATATATATATATACACATGTATATGAATATGTATACACGTGGGTATACGGGGCAAATGAGGGTCGAATGGGAAACGTTTATTGCCTCATTATTTATTTGCGGAGCGCATCGTACGTATAACACGATTGTTTGTCGTCGTAATCATTTTTCCCCCTTGAGAGACCGTCGTGTCTCCGAATGTGATCGGCCTTATGATTTCTCACGAAGCCACTCGATCGGGTTTGTCGACGAAGAATCACGTATAAAAGTGCACCGCGGCCACTCGGAACGTCATTGATTAATACTTTTGTACCTATGCCAGGTCGTGTGGTTCGTATACACGTGTAACGGTGCGGAAACAAGCGCTCGGCTAAAAATTACGGAATTAACGTCAGCGAGGGCGCGAGGACGTACATCGAATTAAAAAGTAATCTGCTCGAAAATCGATTGCTCTGCGGGTGTACCTATCTACTTATACAACAACAGAGTATATAAGTATAGTCTCTCGTGCAATAATACATATAAGTATATATATATATGTGTGTACATGTACATACCTACCTCGTAAAAACCGCGCGTGCGGGGGGTATATTACGTAGAATGGAGTCACACCCGCAGTCCGCAGTGCAGCCGAGAACAAGATAGTAAAGTGGCACTTTGGACAATCATGAGCCAACAACAATAGACTGGGCCCCTGTGAAAAACTGGGAATGGTAATTTCCATGGTGATTGCGCAGTACCCGGCATATACATGCACGTGTATAATATATTACAGCCCCTCCCCCCACCTCGTTTACCTCACCACTGTTTCACCAGATTTTTTTAGCGCATAGGTATAATATGCATTTGGCTCTACATATACATTGTATATGCACCTATTGTCCACCTCATCTGTCCACGCGCGTGTGGATACGAGTACCTGTATGTATATTATAGTGCAAGCTGCGAAAAGGCCATCGTGTGTCCATGTAAGTAAGTACCGTCCAATGGTGAAGGGATGAAACGAGCATCATCAGCAACGGTACAGCAGCGGAATTGCAAATGATTATTATATCATGTACATGTATTTTGCGAGCGCGTTTATATGCAAACGTAGGTGTATCACTATATACATTATATTGTATGGGTATACCTGGAGCTTGTAAAGATAAAATTAGCAGCGACCCGACGACACATGTCTCTCTTGGCTGCTGAATTTTGCATTATAACTCGCTACTGCAGCACAGGTACATATCCTATACATACATGAATGTAGGTATACTATATACATGTTAGGGGCAATATATATATGTATATTTGTATTTATGTATATACATATGAAAGCGCGTTTCAACTTTACAGCCCATAAAATGCGATGAATCATCAATTTCGTAATCGCTACATCAATGGCCATTTGCATTAATCGGGTTATTCCCTCTTACCCATCATGGCTATGTATACCACCTTTTTACGTATTATATGACCACCGGCCAGCAGCAAAAGTGTGGTAGCCACGGCAACTAATTAATTTAATCAATATATCTATACATGTAGATTTCGTCGTGAGGTGTGTATAAGTGGCGGGAGGGAGGGACCGGCTCCGCGTTTCTCGATATAAATACTTGGCAGCTACCGGCTCTACGCGGAAAGAGCCGCGCGTATTGTTATTACGAGCAGTAGGCTGATTGTATATATACGGCGATGGAGTCCCCATCCGGCTTCCCCGAACGACCAGCTTCGGGAGAAATATAATATATGGGCACGTGTGTGAGATATACACACACGTGGATACCTGTTCGCGTCATCGTGTGCCAAATATCTCGTTTTTGCGGCAGTGCCAAAGGAACAAAGAAAAAAAAAAAAAAATCGACACGCACGCAAAAAAAACATGTACATATATATATAAGTGTAGGCACGCACTCTCTCCTATACGGATATTATTTATTACGCGAGGTGATGGGGCGTTAAAATGAGCTAAAATGTAATCTTACATTGTATTGTATATAGTGAGTACAGTCGCCCGGAAGACGAATGTAGAAGAGAAAATAATGGCCAATTACCATAACGCACGTGTATTTATATACCTATGCATATAAGTACACCATAACGACACGGACGCGCGAATGATTGGATTTTTTTTTTTTTTTTTTTTCTAGCGATCGGTGCAACTCGTTTCTGTATACCAGTAGAGCTAGAGGATTTATAATATACGCGATAGGCATAAATAGTATACAACACCTAGTTGGAGTGAAATGCGTTTCCAGGCGACCGACGGCCCGCTAAGTACTCGTTTC